TAATTTTTTCTATATATTTTTAGTTGTCCAATTAATTTCTTTCTATTTTTGGTAGAGACGGGGTCTCGCTCTTGCTCAGGCTGATTTCGAACTCCTGAGCTCAAACAATGCGCCCGCCTTGGCCTCCCAGAGTGCTAGGATTACAGGCGTGAGCCACCGCGCCCGGCTTGACAATTTTCTTCTTCATAAATCAATAATTATCTCTGTCCTATATATGAATTTAGATTTGTTGTGACTTTGGACAATGGGTAGAAAGTGGCTTTATAAAGTGCCCACCTAAGGGATCATTGATAATACTAGTCATCATTTTTCCTAACCCATTCCATAGGCATGCCTGAGGTTTCTGTTTGCTTTCCTAGGATAAGAGAAAAGATGGGGACTCTCTTACTTTCATAGACATAGAATTTCCCAGGTACAACTAAGGTGGATTTCACGGGATCAGATGCAGGAGGAATATGTTAGGAGCTGGCCTGGGTCCAGCTGGAATAGGAGCAAGAAATAAAAATCAAGGAGGAAGAAAACCTTTTTGATCAATTTGTCCCCTGGCTACTTCTCTAGATAGTGAGTGCCATCCCTCAAGGAATAACGTGAAGAACAAGAATTAAAAAATCTCTCCTGGCTACAGAGCAATGAAGGAATATTGGATGGAGAAAAAAACGACATTTAAAGTTTATCAAATCTGTTCTCAAGATGGCCACTTTTGAAATATTCAATGAATCTGAATGAATACTTGCCATGTCTTTAAGAATCTGCACCATGATTTACACTTGGCAATTGCTGATGAAAATCTGTTGGTTCAGATGGATCACGGTAGCTGTCTCTTCTTAATTATAGCATCCTGCACGGAATATAAGGGTAACTTCTCTATGACATCATTAAACATGTCATTTCAGAACCTGGAACTGTGACAGACTTTGGATCTAACTTCACTTTTATGCCATGACTAGTCAGTTAATTTGCGACCAGCTGAGAATCAGCAAACCGAGGGCCTTGTATACAGAACCCGTAATGTGTCTGTCTTGTGTTGATCTTTCATCTCCTGTCTCCACACTTCCCTCTCCCCTCTCTACTCCCCACTCCCAATCTTCACATGAGAAGTCAGCAAAGTAATATTAAACAGATGAAAAAGGTTTTCGTTTAGCATTTCAAAGGAACTATTTTGCTGTTGAGAAAAATACTGAAGTCTTAATCTTATAATAAGTTTCCTGTAAACATGGTTTTATGAATCATAGATTCCCTGAACTTATTTTACTGTAATTATTTAAAAGGTAAAGAAACATCATTTTTATGCATGAGACTGGATCAAGTGTTGGCAAACGTTTTCTGTAAAGGGCTAGATAATATTTTAGGCTTTATGGGCCATATATGGTCCTTATTGCATGTTCACTGTTTTCACGACCTTTGAAAAATGTAAAAAACATGCCCAGCTATTAGGCTATGCATACACAGCAGCAATTTACTGACCCTTGTACTTGGTGATCTCTCATTTTTCAGAATTTAATGTCAGAAAAAAAAAAAAACCCACACAACATGGCCATGACCAATGTTTCTCAAATCTTCAGAGCAACAAGAACAAGCAAAAAGTGAGAAATAGTGGATTCTATAACAAAAAAAAACCAGCAAAATCCTTCTTTCTGGTTTTTCTGAACATCCAGCTCTGGGCCTTCAGTCCTGTGTCGCATGATAACTGTCAGGTGGAGAGAGTAGTGGGTGCCCCCGCAGAGGAGGTGTGCTCTTTGCAATGGAACCTTATTCTCACTATCTTCTACTGCTTTGGGAACTTGAGGTGGAGTTCCTCAATGGCAAAATGCCATTTTTGTTGTGGGTACGCAGCTATTTTTCTTCTGCTACAATAAAAGGTATTTGAAATATGCATGTATCTAAATATCCCATGTACTCCATAAATATGTAC